CCCCAAAACCCCAAAACCCCAAAACCCCAAAACCCCTCTTTAAAGTGGAATATTGAAAGATTAACATAAACTTAAATAAGCCAGAAGGGGTTATTACTGGTCATAGTGAGAGATTGGCATCTTTTGATTAAGTATTTCTCACAACTCTTCTAGCTGTTTCTGGCCTGCAAGCTTAGCTTCCTCTAAATCTCTCACAGCTAAATTAGATTCATCAGTTTGTGCAACAGCAATTGAATTCAGATCAGGAAGAGGATGCTTTGTCTGCTCATGAGACTGGACCATCATAGGTATCATCTGCTCCTGGATAGCTTTCTGCTGAGCTTCATTAGTCTCTCGAGATATCATATTCGTTCCAGAGGCTTGTCCTGACTGAATCTTTCTCTCATTATTCTGCTGATATATTCTCTGCTGAACTTTGTCCAGTAATTCCTGTTGTGATGTCCTATTAACATGAAGTATGAAAGCTGCAGCTCCAATATGATAGCTTGACCTCTTGTATTCAAATATATTTCTGACATAGGTTTCTTCATAATTAGGGTCTAAATTGGCCTGGATATGAGTGCTATATCAAAAGTTACATATTTGCACAAATAAAATAATTGCTGAACGCATCATAAAGAATGAGATTCTAGTTTAAGGAGTCTAATTTATTTCCTAGTTGCTTTTATTGGAAATAGAAGTGACTCTTAAAAAGCATTAGCCTAAGAGTATCAAAACAAACTTTCATTGTTGTTTGGTTGCCTTTATTGAAGAGAAAATGCAAGGTTTTCACTAGCTTTTCCATCAAATACTGACTAGTTTTATCTCCAAATTTGAAAGAATTTCTGCAAAACCGGGAAAATGTAAGGGTAGATTGATATTACGTTTTGATTCACAATCGGGTTTAGCTTACTGTTGAGCATTGTTCTGATTCAGTCAGTATAAGAATTTTGAAAGTGTCTATAGAAAGTTTAATCAACATTCATTCACACGAGCTCTAAATGTTTTCAAATAAATTGAAGTTTTGAGCTCTCAAACAAATTTCTAGAAGAAGAGTCTAATAAAGAAGATTTTAAGCCGCGAGAAGAAAGTTCTTTAATCATACCACTACTAAAACCAAATATTTGGATTACAGTGTTATTCTTCCAAGAATTGATTAGCTATTTCTTCTAAAACTCCCTCACTATTTAACTTTCTCCTAGGCTAACCTCATATACACACTAAGCTCCAACATAGTTGTCATTTTCTAAGAAAATTAGCGAAATGCCAATTAATTGGCTAATTAATAAGCCTAAAATTCCGCTTCTAAACAATAAAGATGCTTATTTGCCTTAACATATGTTGTACTTACTGCCTGTTTAGATTTCCATCCATAAAGGCATAGTTAAGGTTGTTTTGGAGGTTCTCATGATTAAGAGCATTTAAGCTCTCAATGGCTTTTCTGCTTCTCTCTATCTCCTCTTCAGGGTTAGCAATATCAACTTCAAGTTGTTGGGCTCTAGCTTGAGCCTGAATTTGGTCAATTAAAGCTCTAATCGTTGTTGGGTCGGTAACATTTTGCTTCAAGAGGTACTCTCAGATATTCCTCTCGTCTTCAGTCTCAAGACTCTCAATAAATTGGTGAAGCTCAAGTCTCTGTCTCATCTCTGGGCTCAGTTCCTGAGACTCTTGCTGATATTGCTCTTCATCTTCTTCAAGTGTTGAAAAATCCTTAATAAAAGCACTGAAAACACCAAATAGGGTTTGTAGGTTGGATGGAATCTCCCACTCATCTTCTTCCTCGTGTTCTTCCTTCTTAGTCTTGTTCCTCTTATTTGTATTAGCTTGTTTAGGGATGGGAGGTTTCTTTGGCTTACAATTTGCTAAGTTTGCCCTTAACTTAGTAGAACTTCTCAGATTTCTAGTAGCTATTCCATTTCTCTGGCGAGGGTTACTCGAGTCTTGATCATATTTCAAAGATGCCTTCTCTTCTGCTCTATCAGAGAAAGATGAGGAGTCAGGTGAATTATGCTCATACTCCTTATCGTGATCAGGGTAGTAATAATCTGTCTTTCCTACTCTATTTTCTCCTATTCCTAGCTGATCTGGTCTTTCTTAGACTCTGAGTGGGAGTTGAGGAGTTTTGAGCTGAACTCCTACTATTTTGAGACTCATTCTCTGTTTTTCTGGCCATTTTTCTTAAACTCATCAACCAATTAATTAATTTATATTTCTACATTGAGGTAATTTTAGGGGTTTTGGGGTTTTGGGGTTTTGGGGTTTTGGGG